AATTCTCAGGCATTATTTTCAATAATTAAGGCAACTGTGCTATGTAATCATTAACAAATCCTGAAATCTCATGACTTAACACAATAGAGGTTGATGTGTCACTCATGTGAAGTCCAATATGGCTGGCAGCTCTCCTGTCTTGTGGCTATGTCATCTGAAGCTTGTGGCCTCCAAGTTCCTCATGACCAGGGCTGGGATGGGACACATAGGCTCTTAACTGACTCAGCTCATAAGTGAGACATGTCACTTGTACTCATGTTAGGTTGTTCAGAACCATTCACCTGGGAGATGTAAGGGAGCAGCACATAGAATATTGGGTGGCCAATAACTTTTCAACAACTCTTTGCAAACTTACGTTCAGGTTCTTGCAAGGCATTGCACTTTCTTCCCATGCATCAGCCATGGGACTTGTGGTTTATTTCATTGAATAATTGCAACTCATTTTAAATCTAAAAGCTAATATCTATTGACTGAGGATACAGAGATGTGCTGTCCCTGTGACAAGGCTAAGAATGCAGAAATGCATATGATACAGTCTCTGGTCTCAAGGTTATTCCGCCACTTCTTAGTTTATATTGGCTTTGAAAGAATTTTCAGATCATTCCCTCTTAATGTTTATATTGGTGGGTGTAAATCAGTGACCACCTAATCAAAGACTAAGTTTTTGATTTATAATCAACAGGATTTTGTGTCCCTGTGGCAATTTTTTAATTTCAGGTGCTTCTCCAAAGTTTTATGACAACCTCCTCTTCCTTTTGAACTAAAATAATTGTTGAGAACTCTTTTCTTCTTTGTAATGGCAACATGTGAGGATCTCTAATATGCTCCATAGAGAGGTAACTGCAAATTCATCTATCCCTCAATATTATTTGGTGCTTTATTTCTGATGTTCACTGAAGCAGGTTTGTAAATTAATATTAATATGAAATACTCTATAGAAAGTTTCATAGCATGTCAGTTGAAAATAATTATCCAGGAAGAGTTTTTATGTGAGTCAGTTTTGCAAATGCATCTCATATACTTCGTGAAAGGAAATAATTCTTCTGAATTAAAAAGATACAGTTATCTTAGAAATACTATTATATCTGTTCTTATTTGACTAAATCTATAGCTTGAACTGCTTCTACCCTGGGTACAAGTGGTTTTTAGTACTTGGATTCTGAGAGTATTGATCAATTTTTTATAATGTTTGGTTTCCTTATGTTTTCTTTTTCAGAGTACCCGAGTGGCCTTGGACCATCTGGAGTCTGTGCCTGAGAAACTGAGCTTACTAGAAGATTTCAAAGACTTCAGAGTGAGAAAGAGTTGGCTTGTCTCTTTCAGTATTCTTATCTGACTGAGAACATTTGACATCTTCCTGATGTGCAAAGAAAGTTGTAGGGAGGGAGGAAAGACCAAAAAACATAGGGGATTTTTAATACTCCATCTTATCAGACTTTATTGATATTTGTTAAATCAAGATTGAAAATACTGGAACTTACATATTAGAGGAAAAATAGAGACTTTTACCCTCATACTAGAAGCTCATTTGGCCTCCCAAAGCTTTAACTTTAATTTAGAAAAACCTGAGATTCAAAAGGGGTTACATATTACACTGAAGATAGCTTTTTAAATTTATTATTGTTTTAATTTACATTCAAGTTACCATATAGTGCAACAATGATTTCAGGAGTAGATTCCTTGATGCCCCTTACCCATTTAGCCCATCCTCCCTCCCACAACCCCTCCAGTAACCCTCTGTTTGTTCTCCATGTTTAAGAGTCTCATAATGTTTTCTCCCCCTCCCTGTTTTTATATTATTTTTGCTTCCCTTCCCTTGTGTTCATCTGTTCTGTGTCTTAAAGTCCTCGTATGAGAAAGAGATATTTGTCTTTCTCTGACTAATTTCACTTAGCATAATACCCTCTAGTTCCATCCACGTAGTTGTAAATGACAAGATTTCATTCTTTTTTGATTGCTGAGTAATACTCCTAGACAGCTGTTTTGATAAGCAATTTCACCTTATGAACTATCTTCTTTTTTTTTTTAATTACAGATTTTTAAGATTACTGTTTGTTTTAGAGACATGAAGGTACACAGGTTATTTCCATACTGTGATAGTTGAATTCAGATCCACAGTTTTAGATTTTACATCTCATGCTATTTGTTAATAGAACTCTACAAATCATTCCATATCTAGGAGATTAATTACATGTGTGGATTTACCTATTGTAACTTTTAAAGTTTTCATAGAGGAGAGATGCAAAACAACTATCCCTGCCAGCAGTCCTGCCAAACAAGGTTCAGGCCAGAGAATATCCCTTTTGGGATGAATACACAATGGACAGTTTTAGCAATTTATAATTTTCTGGCCCCATATGGCTGAAGTTAACAATGGTGAGAGTTCTCTTTGAAAACCTTGAACCTCTTATTTCACACTGGCTTTAAAATATAATATGTTATATATAGGTTTTGTTTGTATCTAACATATTATTTGAGAATCTAGTGAGTAGGAAATATAGCCTGATCATGCCATATTGATTACTGGAGGCACTGATACGATGTGGCTCTCAAGGTCTGCACTATCTTAACATCAATTCACTTAGCATATTTTGGTAGTTCAGCAACTAAACATAATTGAAAGGGATCCAGGGTTGAGCTGACATATCCAGAAATCTAGACTATAACAAATAGAACAAATCCAAGTGTTTCTAGTACATTTTGCTAAAGTTTCAATTCTTTCTCATGATTTAATTATGTATTTGCATTTTTTTAATGCTTGTTTATTCTTTTTTTTTACATTTACTTATTTTTGAGAGACAGAGTGAGACAGAGTGCGAGCAGATGAAGGGCAGAGAGAGGAGGAGACACAGAATCCAAAGCAGTCTCAGAGCAAGCGTTCACCACAGAGCCTGATGTGGGGCCCGAGCCCACAAATCGTGAGATCATGACCTGAGCCGAAGTCAGACATCCAACCAACTGAGCCACCCACGTGCCCCATTATTCTTTAGAGAGAGACAGACAGACAGAGACAGAGACAGAGACAGAATGGGAGCAGGGGAGGGGCAGAGAGAGAAGGAGACACACAATCCGAGGCAGGCTCCAGGCTCTGAACTGTCAGCATGGAGGCCAACGGCCCAACGCAGGGCTCGAACTCCCCAACTGTGAGATCATGACCTGAGCCGAAGTCAGATGCTTACCTGACTGAGCCACCCAGGTGCCCCCCATGTATTTGCATTCTAAATCCCTGTCAAAGGATTATGAAACTAGTATCCAAGAAGATGTGATTTCCACTCACCCTAATATTACCCAATGTGGAGAGTAGGCAATATGTTACACCCATATATATCCTTTCTGCTTTTTTCTCTGTAGCTAACAGAAGTCATCTAAGGGAAGGAAGGGCAGAAAACAGGTGGCGTTTGTCGCTGAGAAACCGATGTCATCTTATACCAGCATAAAAATATAATTTAGCCTCTAGTGACAGCTCATCTTTTCTCCAGGGTCTACACTGAACAGGATATTCATAAGTACAATTTAAAAGTTTAGTACTGTTGGGGCACCTGGGTGGCTCAGTCAGTTAAGCCTCTGACTCTTGATTTCAGCTCAGGTCACGATTTCGTGGTACGTGAGGTTTGAGCCCCATGTTGGGCTCTGGGCTGACAGCGCAGAGCCTGCTTGGGATTTGTCTCTCTCTCTCTCTCTCTCTCTCTCTCTCTCTCTCTCTCTCTCCAAATAAATAAATAAACTTAGAAAGAAAAAAGTTCAATACTATTACCAAAAGGTTTTATTATTATTTTTTATTGTATGGGCTAGTGATTATCTCCAACTCTAGCTTATATATACACACACATATGAAGATGCCTATATAGTGAAACTTTGGGGGAGAATATTTTCCAAAGTTCATAATTGTACTTTCCAATATTAGTCATTAAAATTGAAACCTTTAGCTTGAAATGGAAAGGAGTTCATTTAGCAAGTATTCTGCACTACTGTGCAGCAGGCAGTAGCTAAGTTCTAAGCCTGTATTACTTAAAAAAAAAAAAAAAATCCTCAGACATGCTACTCATGGGCACTATCTTCCCCCAAGTTACAGCTGAAGAAACTGAAGCTTGGAGTATGTAAATTAGTTGGAACTGGGACCTAGTTCCATGTATCAACTACAAAACCCATTTTCTTTGCCCTACTGCCTCTAGCTTGAAACCCACTCTCTATGTACTCTAAAGTCATCCTATGATTAAAAAGAGCTTATTTAGTCAACCTAATGATTTTTAATTCTAAAAATCAGGATACTGTCACCAAGAGCCCAAAGATGTAAACTCTGATCCAAGCTCATGTACCAGGCAAAATTACTTAATATCTTACTTATATCCTCATCCCTAAAATGAAGGGCTTATACAATATTATCTGCATGGTTCCTACTCACACTGGCCTCACTAGCATATATATGAAGATGTATTTCACATGTATATTTCTTGTTAATACTACAGTCTCTTAGGGGTGCCTGGGTGGCTCAGTCAGTCAGTTAAGCGTCTGACTTCGGCTCAGGTCATGATCTCACAGCTTGTGAGTTCGAGCCCCATGTTGGGCTCTGTGCTGTACGGCTCAGATCCTGGAGCCTGCTTCATTTCTGTGTCTCCCTCTCTCTCTGTCCCTACCCTGCTTGTGCTGTCTCTCATAAATGAATAAATGTTAAAAAAATTTTTTTTAAATAATAAATTAAAAAAATGCTACAGTCTATGACTCTAGGCAAATATAAGCTATAGCAAATACATATTTCATCCTATTTAGATAGCCTTGGCTTTTTTCTTTAAACATGTCATAGTGTCTCTCATTTTTTTTTTAAACTTATTTTGGAAGAAGTGGCTCAACTCTACAATTCCACATTTAAACTTTACATATTTGGTATGGTAGGAAGGAAACAGCATTGGGCTTGAAGCCCAATCTGTCACAAATTGCCTAGTCTTGGGCAAATCATTCTTAACTTCCCTGGGCTATAGCTTTTTATATATAAAAATGAGAACTTTGGGATTCTAATACCCCTTCCAGCTTGAACACTCAATAAGTTCCTTGGGACTATTTGGGGAATGAGATCCCATAGATAATTTTTCTTACATATGCAAATCAGTTGCCCTCATTTTATTCTAATTTTTCCCCTAATTCATAATGGAAACGTCTAAGTAACTGGGTATCGTGACTGCTGTGTTCCATTCTCTCCCCCCGAAAAATGGAGGAAGGGAAAAGGGAAGGAGAGAGGGGGGAAGAAGAATGAATGACCCCAAAACTTTTCTTAATTTCTTTATTACCTGAATCTTTTTATTCTTTTGAGGGCAGATGAAATACCCTTCAGTTTCAAAGTCAACGTGATATGCTGGTTAAAAGGTAAAATATTGTTTAAGAATTAGTGATGAACGAGGACTCTACTCTCAAAGGTAATATTGTTTTTTAACATAGAATATTTTGATGTCAGATAGTACTCTGAGAGATAGTACACAACATTCAAAAGTGTGTCGTTAATGACCATCTTTGGACAACTCACTGCTACTTAAACCTTTTTCCCTTCAACTAAAGGATGTCGATCATTTCAGACTGGCATAGGACTAGTATAAAAAGGACACAAATACCAATGTGGGACCCTGTTTTTATTTTTAAGGTAGCATCCAGAGACTGTTTTCTTCTTCCTCCTTGGCAACCTGTAATTCCCCTATATTTCCCTAACCACCTATAATTATCAATACTTTCTTATGCGCAATTCAAGTACTGATTTTCTTCTCACCTCCTGGTTTTGACATTGCTGTTTTTTTATTTTTTTTGTTTTTCAGGATTCCTGCAGTTTATCTGAGAGAATTGATGGGAGATATTCTAAATACAGAGTTCACAAAGAATCTCTTCAGCAGCGCCGAGATGATACCAAGTACGGAGTCAAAAACTCCAAAGTAATGTCTTTTGTATCCATTTTCAGTCTTTGAGCGTTACCCATGTTTATGGCTATAACCTGCTAGGCTACCCCTGTAGGGTTCATGTAAGGGTACTTGTAAAAGAAAAGATATTACTCTTCAGTTTTGTGGGAGTAGAGAATAAAAATCCAAAGATTTTGCCTGTAAATTTGCACATGGGAACTATCTTTAATTTTATGCCATTGTTGCTTACTATGTTGTCTCTTGGCTTTGATGTTGTTTAGGAAATTTGTGTGGAAGGAAACCCCTGGTCTCTAGGTTGGCCAGAGACTTGACATAGGTAGTTGCCCTCCTCTGTGTGTAAATCCAGCCACTGTCAGTGCTGAAGTCTCCAGAAGGTCCAGTAACACATAGTACTTTGTAAACTACAGTCTTGGCATTTATAGTCCTTTTTTCCCTGAGGATATGAACTCCATTCATCTACTTCAGCATATGGATCACTGGTGTGGAATCAACACAGGAGCCTGGGAACATTTGACCATATTGACAAAAAAGTCTGCCCTTCCCTGGAGTCTCCCCAAAATCCATCTGGGGTGTGGGTGATTTTAAACCCATTTGATCCTGAACAGTTTTTAGCTTAGAGCAGGGTTTCTCAACCTTGGCATTAACATTTGGGCTAGATAGGTCTTTGTTATGGAGCCTGTCCTACGTGTTATAGGACATCTAGCGGCATCCCTAGATTCTACTCACCAGATGCCAGTAGCATCTTCCATCACAAGTTATGGCATCAAAATGTGTCTCCAGACACTGCCCAGCATCCCTAGTTTGTCCCCCATTCAGAACACTGACTTAGAGAGAATCCATCTATATTCAAATGTATACTCCCAAGTCAATTTAGAAAAAAAAAAGGCAAAGGTTCTTCTGTCTTTTTTATATTCTCACAGACCTCAGTATGTATGCATATTCATTATACTGTATATATTCACTTATTACAGCCAAACATAATTATTTCTAAGAAGCCTCTTCCCTCCTCTGAATGTAATTGGATAGAATGCTCAGTGGATATAAAGGCAGTGTTCATTTTCATAAGCCCTTCCCTAGCATGCTTAAAATGAGCTCTCCACTTGCACCATCCCAAATAAAAACAACACACTTATGCCACATTATTGATGCTCTCATTGTGAAAAGGGCATCCTGTAACTCTGTGCCCTTTTCCCTTTGTTTTTTGTCATTTGGTATTGATGATAACAGTGACCTTGTTGTCTCTTATAGCATATCCTCGTTTCACTAAATCAGCTCCCACCATCCCCAACAGGTCCCATATACTCAAGCATTTCTCCACCACCTGTAGGGTCTGCTCCTAACCTTCAACAGAAGCACAAGAGTTAGGCAGCAGTAGCTAATAGTAATAACTACTCATTGTTGAGCCAACCACATAAGTTGCTCTTTTTGTAGGTGTCACAGGCTTTATATAGGCATTCTCTCATTTAATCCTCCCAGCGACAGGTTGGCACCATTAGTTTTCCTCTTCCACCATTGAAGATTATAGAGCGATTAAATGGTTGCACCAGAGTTAAAACCTAAATCTGCCTGGCTTCAGTAATCTATGTCCTAAGCTATCATAGTGTATATTTGGACCTCATATACCTTCATGTTTCTAGCACCAAATATAGAACTATATTTTTAATATGTGAAAGTCAGTTGTCTCCAAAAATACACACACAGTACATGTCTCTTAGTTCAACAGAGGTCTAGATGGAAATGAAACATTTAAAGCATTATTTCCCACTACGGTTAGATTTGGTATCAGGTGAATCAGTACCGTCTCATGACACCCAGATTGCTTTACATCATTGTAATTTCCATAACAGCATATGGCAAAGCTATGAATGGGTAACATGCTCGGCAAGTAATCTTGTTGGAGTTCTCTTTAAAAATTATATTTGCAGCGGAAGAGGAAATCGGGCCTGGTTTGTAAGTGAGGCCACCACTTAGCAAAATGAGAAAAAAGTTGAAAATGTCGCAAATATGTAGTTCAAGTATAAGAAAAGGGCACAAAGCACATTTTATGATGACATTGTTCCACATTCATATTGCTTAAACATTTTAAAACATTGATCCTTTTCAGTAATGAATATGTACACTATCACCATTTATAACAGATGTCTGGCCTGAAATAATGCAGTCATCTAACTCAACACTCATGAGAATATATTTTTGTAGTCATTGGAGCAGAAAATGTGGGAGCACATTTTGGCCAGTTGTGGATACCAACAATGATTTGCTCATGTGCTTTTTGTGAAAATAATTCATTGAAAAAGTTTCAAAAGAAGCATGAGCTCAGATGGGCAGTGAGACAGTGGTTAATCGTTTCTTGGCTTCAGGGATAATCAAAAAAGCTACCTCTGGTTAATTATTGACATCCTAAAGAATATGCCTCAAGTAAGAGGCATTGGTACTCTATCAAGAGAGAAGGTGTCCTAGTTTTATTTGACATTATTTCTGCAGCTATTAACTTCCCACGTATTTTGCTAGGAGAGTTCAAAGAAAAGGCACATTGCAGCAACTTGAATTTGTTGGTTCTACTGACAACTGCGGTTCTGGGAAATCACTTGCTGTAGGATTCAGTTTAATTCTACAAACATACTGTGCAGCTACCACACTGCAAAGCCCTGTACTACGTACCTGTTAGAGGTGAGGATGCGGGATGTAAAAAGATGCAGAAGGCATGGTCTTTACAGAGGGAATAGTTACCTCTCTGTCTTAATCCTAATAGATGATTCTTGCATAATTGTGTTAGAGCAGGAATCAGCAGACTACCTCCAGTGGGGCAAATCTTGCCTGCCAGCTGCTTTTGCAAATAAAATTTTATTGAAATACAGCCTCACTCATTTATTCACATATTGTCTGTGGCTGCTTTCACACTCAGCAGCAGATTTGAGTAGGTGCAACAGAGACTAAATGGCTCAAAAGGCCTCTATTTGCTATCTGACCCTCTAAAGAAAAAGTTTGCCAAGCCCTGGTCTAAAGAAAGGGGAAATGGCCAATCTAGTCTTTCTTCCTTTACGCATATGTGTAATATTTCCTCTTCTTTATTTACCAGTCAAATAAGTACTTCCCAGGCTCTTTGGAAATTCATAATACTTATCCATGCATTCAACAAATATGTACTGAGCGTAAGTTATGTGCCACAAACTTACTAGGTGCATCGACTCACATCAGTGAACAAAAGAGACGAAGCTCCCTGCCTTTTTGGAGCTTCCATTTCTTAACTGTAGGATATACGTGTTTGTTGTTGTTTAATTATAACATTCAACAAACATTTGGGTCTCTACTATATACAAGCACTCTGCTAGGGGCTAGAGGCAATGACATGATAAAGAAGAGTCATTACCAACCTTCAGGAATTCAAAGCCTTCACACAAACTGTAGTGCAAACGACAAAAGGATAACTACTGTAACGGAAGCCTCAATACATTGCAGCTGGTGTTCAGAGAAAAGAAAGATGCTTCAAAGGCTTTTGAAAAGAGGTTTGTAATGACAAGGCACAGGGAAGAGTATTGTGCACATTTGTTTGGAACAGGATCACTATTAGCATTACAGTTGTAGAACCCTGACTGCATTACTATTGACCGAAAGTTATCTGTTGGGATAACAGAACCATATTGGCAACTGACTTCTCTCATTTTATTGCTGTTGTAAGAAGGTGGTGAGACATCCAGCACAACCCCCCTGCTGGTGGAGAGTAGGGTTAGTGGGAAGCATAGGAGGCAGGTTCCCTTTCAGCCAGGGCTACCGTGATCTCCTGCTGTTTACTTCCATGGCAACCAGATGGGTGAGATAGGTGATGGGGATTAAGGAGTGGCCTTGACATGATGAGCACCGGGTGATGTATGGATGTGTTGATTCCCCATATTGTACACCTGAAACTAATCCTACATTGTGTGTTAACTAGAATTTAAATAAAAAGAAAAAAAAATCCAATTTCTACAAACCTTTCAAGATCCAGCAGGACCAACATCCACAGTTTCTGAGAGCATAACATAGTTTTGTATGAAGCTGACCAGGCTTACTGGACAAAGCCTGATCTAAAAGTTTATGTTTGGAATTCAAAGCTGAGTCTGACACAACATTTTCTCTCCATGTGTAGACACCAGAAGCATTTCATGGCCTCTCTTTCATCTGATTGGGTTTCTGTAGGACATACAGGCTTCCTTGCTGCCCCAGCTGTTTCAAATAGAACAGAATGTTCAAAAGTCAACATAGCATTCCTAATCTGAATTCACAGAGGAGCGTGGTTTTGTCCAAGAAATCCCCATTTGCTGCCCGCCCTTTTTGCTCTTCACTTATGCTAAATACGTAGTTTTAATTAGCAGTGGGTTTTATAGTAAAATCACAGAAGGCATGTTTTGTTCCCTTCCTTCCTCCTCCTGAAAGAAAAATCATGATTTTCAGTTTCTAGTTGAAGACTTTAGTACATAACGTCTTTTAAAAGAAGCAGATGTTTTACAGGATAAGATGAGGTAGGTGAGGAAGTGTTGACAATGGCTTTCAGCACAGTTTATAAAGGCAGAGTTTGCCAAAGCCCTTTGTTGTATTTGTTCAATGTAAGCATGCGTATGATATAAGTATATGCTTTTCTCCTGGAAGCTGTTTCTCCCTCCTTGAATCTCTTATGATTTGTTTATACTTTGCTCATAGCAATTAATGGCTGTTAGCTCTTTGTCTCTCAGGTCAGCTATTTCTGTACATATCTTAAATCTTCTACAACAGTAGCTGCTAAAACGTGCTATGCACAATCCTGGTACAATTCAAGATTATAGGTGATTTTTATTTAATAACCATTAAAATACATCACTAGTGTATTATTATTCAAGTAATTTTACAGAAACAGTAATTTTACTTAGAAACAATAGTATTAGCTGTGGGAGAATTTGAGGAGCTTTAACCCTGTAATAATCCAGGTATCTCATTTATAATCACTTCTCTCCATGGTTTGGTAAGAAATAATATATAAACTCTATGCAAATATAGCTCCA